AATCTACTTTTAGCTAGAACGATATAATTATCGTTTTATATGAAAAGAAACGGTATCTATATCGTTATACTTGTAATTTAAATTGAAACGATTTCAAACTATTCAAATTTGTACTAAAACGATATAAATGTCGTTACTTTATTTGTGATTTTATGCATAACGATATCAATATCGTTTTAATACAAGTTTGACGACGTTAATATCGTTTTAGTTTAAATCATAACTAAAACTACACGCATATTGTTTCAGTTAAAATAAAACGATACTTATATCGTTTTTGCTAAAAATAATGATTCGACCGTCCACGACCACCGAACATGCATCTAACATATGTAGGATGATCAAAATAGGTAATTAAGTGGATTCGATCTCCCTTTAAAGAAACTATGAGAACATTTTTGTTCTCATGATTGTATACCATCTTCAAACTATTTCGACAGAAAGTATTTTCGTTTGCTCTTTCCAAATCATTGGAGTGGTATCAATCCACTTGATGACCTCTTTCGATCGTCCTACGTATCCTAAAGGTATGATGGGTGGTTGTGGACGGCCGAATCGTTATTTTTATCCAGAACGATATAATTATCGTTTTATATGAAAAGAAACGATATCTACGTCGTTATACTTGTGATTTGAATTGGAACGATTTCAAACTCGTCAAATTTGTACTAAAACGATATGAATGTCGTTACTTTATTTATGATTTTGATACATAACGATATCAATATCGTTTCAATACAATTTTGACGACGTTGATATCGTTTTAGTTTAAATCATAACTAAAACTACACGCATATCGTTTCAGTTAAAATAAAACGATACTTATATCGTTTTCACTAAAAATAATGATTCGACCGTCTACGACCACCGAACATGCATCTAACATATGTAGGATGATCAATATAGGTAATCAAGTGGGTTCGATCTCCCTTTAAAGAAACTATGAGAACATTTTTATTCTCATGATTGTATACCATCTTCAAACTATTTCGACAGAAAGTATTTTCGTTTGCTCTTTCCAAATCATTCGAGTGGTATCAACCCACTTGATGACCTCTTTCGATCGTCCTATGTATCCTAAAGGTATGATGGGTGGTTGTGGACGGTCGAATCGTTATTTTTATCCAGAATGATATAATTATCGTTTTATATGAAAAGAAACGATATCTACGTCGTTATACTTGTGATTTGAATTGGAACGATTTCAAACTCGTCAAATTTGTACTAAAACGATATGAATGTCGTTACTTTATTTATGATTTTGATACATAACGATATCAATATCGTTTCAATACAATTTTGACGACGTTGATATCGTTTTAGTTTAAATCATAACTAAAACTACACGCATATCGTTTCAGTTAAAATAAAACGATACTTATATCGTTTTTGCTAAAAATAATGATTCGACCGTCCACGACCACCGAACATGCATCTGACATATGTAGGATGATCAAAATAGGTAATCAAGTGGGTTCGATCTCCCTTAAAAGAAACTATGAGAACATTTTTGTTCTCATGATTGTATACCATGTTCAAACTATTCAGACAGAAACTATTTTCGTTTGCTCTTTCCAAGTCATTCGAGTGGTATTAACCCACTTGATGACCTCTTTCGATCGTTCTGCGTATTCTAAAGGTATGATGGATGGTTGTAGACGGTCGAATCGTTATTTTTATCCAAAACGATATAATTATTGTTTTATATGAAAAGAAACAATATCTGCGTCGTTATACTTGTGATTTGAATTGGAACGATTTCAAACTCGTCAAATTTGTACTAAAACGATATGAATATCGTTACTTTATTTGTGATTTTGATACATAACGATATCAATATCGTTTCAATACAATTTTGACGACGTTGATATCGTTTTAGTTTAAATCATAACTAAAACTGCACGCTTATCGTTTCATTTAAAATAAAACGATACTTATATCGTTTTTGCTAAAAATAATGATTAGACCGTCCACGACCACCAGACATGCATCTGACATATGTAGGATAATCAAAATAGATAATTAAGTGGGTTCGATTTCCCTCAAAAGAAACTATGAGAACATTTTTATTCTCATGATTGTATACCACCTTCGAACTATTCTGACAGAAATATCTTCGTTTGCTCTTTCTAAGTCATTCGAGTGGTATCAACCCATTTGATAACATCTTTCGATCGTCCTACGTATGTTGAAGGCATGAAGGATGGTTGTGGACAGTCGAATCGTTATTTTTAGCTAGAACGATATAATTATTATTTTATATGAAAAGAAACGATATCTACGCCATTATACTTGTGAATTGAATTGGAACGATTTCAAACTCGTCAAATTTGTACTAAAACGATATGAATGTCATTACTTTATTTGTGATTTTGACACTTAACGATATCATTATTGTTTCAATACAAGTTTGATAATATTGATATCATTTTAACTTAAATCATAACTAAAACTACGTACATATCGTTTCAGTTAAAATAAAACGACAATTATATCGTTTATGCTAAAAATAACGATTCGACTATCTATGACCACCAGTCGTGCATCCGGTATATGTAGGATGATAAAAATAGATAATCAAGTGGGTTCAATCTCCCTCAAAAGAAACTATGAGAACATTTTTGTTCTAATGAAAATAAATGATATCTATGTCATTATCATTGTGATTTGAATTGGAATGATTTCAAACTTATTAAATTTGTACTATGACGATTTGAATGTCGTTGTCTTATTTTGTGGGTTTGATACATAATGATACTATTATCGTTTCAGTACAATTTTGATAACATTGATATCGCTTTAATTTAAATTTTAACTAAAACGATAATCATAAAAACGACGATTCGATCGTCCACGATCAATTATATGTAAATTTTAATTATATTTAATATCGTAGTTATAACGTTCTAGTGTAATTACTTCTGAAACGATATGTATGACATTATAGTTACGATTGAATAGGAACGATATCATTGTCGTCGAAAATTGTGAAATGACATAAACGTTGTTTACTTATTCCATAACGTGCGCTTAAACCTGTTAAACAGTGAAGTAATGTGTATTCGATATCGAAACGACATATACATCATTTTTTGTACTTCAGGAACGAGTTTAATGTCGTTATACAAATCAGTTAAGCAGAGTGTATTTCATATTGAAATGATATCGAAGTCGTTTTATATTTCAGGAACGATTTCAATGTCTTATGCAAATCAGTGAAACAGTGTCAGCAGCTCATTTCCATTCCACATTTTTATTAAGTTGATAAGTTATATTTTACGATTTCTTCAAACGGCAATATTTTCATGCTGGCTTATCCGAATCGACTTTTTCTCGAGTTGAATAGTTCTTATTAATTACAAGCTTTAAAATGAGTACAAATCGATATACTGCATCGCTTTTTATTAAAATCTAATTATTCGACTTTAAATAAGATATAAATTTAAAAAATATTTTTTTCTCCATTTTTTTCCAAAATATAACGATAAATTTATTTTAAAAAATTTCGTGTGTTATAATATGTGTCTAATGAATAAATGACTCAATAATTATTTTCGTCTAGTTGTTAGGTTGTGGACAATGTTAAAACTTTGGTTGCACTGGAGATCAATTACGAAAAAGAGATGACCTGAAACTTAAAAAGAAGAGTTCGAATTCTAAGGAGAAGATGATTTGAAGAGGAAGATTTTTTGAATTTAAAGGAAAGGAATGTTGTGTGTGTTAGAACATTAATGCATAGTTATTAGAGCCAACCCGATGATCAACTAAAAAAAATTACCGGGTTAATGGTTCAATCGGTGAGTTATTGTTAAATTTTAATTTTAATTAAATTTTATTTTTGAAGTGAGAATAAAACAATTTTTTGAAATGTAATATATATATTTTGCTCATAGGAAACAAAGAACCATCATTTACCATAATGATTGTGGAGTTAAAATATTTTCTTGCATTCCAAGATTCAAGTCAAGGCTCCAACAAATTTAGAAAAAAACTCCAATTTGTTCTTCATTTTTATTTTACAAGTTAAGGGTAAAAAAATCTTTTGACACTTTTAAATAATTAAAACTCTTTTTATTTTTATAAGTTTGGTCAAAAGTCAATTGAACAAAATGTACATTAAAGTGGCCTTCCCAACTCATTTCCCCATGTTAAAAGCCACTTTATTGCAAGCATGCACAAATGAACTCAGTGGCCATAGCACCGATAACAGTGAAAAGAAATTCACCTGAAGGTTGAAATCGAATCAACAATACCAAACAATGGATTCCCAACTTACACGGAGTAGAATAAAACGCATTACCTGTGCAACTCCATCAGCAATTCAATAGCATATCATGCTTTGTTGCCGTTCTAATAATATTTATTTTCACTTGGGACAAAGCTCAGGATTTCAGTCCTGTTTCACGTGTCACTGATCCCTATTTAACCGGTCAGACTTTTTTTTTCTATATTATTTTTGTGTTATTTTTGATATTTTATTCAATTTTGTTTTCGAATTCTATGTTTGTTGGATTGAGATCATAGTCATTTTTGTAGTTACTTATCAAACTTGAATTGTGTAATTCAGTTTATTATGCAATAAAGGATCGCTGAATTCTTTTGCAGTTACGCGGGTTTTCGGACTTGTTATTCGGGTTTGTGGGTTTTCACAGTATGGAAGGTTTTGTGGAATAAATTTAGAAAAACCCGTTCTTAATATCTTCTTGAGGAATCCATTTTTGCTCTTCTTTTTCTTTTGCTGGTTTCTTGAACTGAGAATAAAAAAAGGTGAATCTTTTTGTATATAAGCACTCAAATTTTGTTTACAAAAGGAACAAATTGCAGCCTGGTCTTAGGATTATTATTGATTTAGGTGTAATCAAAAGCACTCAAATTTTGTTTACTAGTTTTAGGATTATTATTAATTTATTTGCCTTTCATAAGGTTGATGTTGCTTTGGTTTGAGTGGTTACTCCACTGGAGTAACAATAGTGAAAGAAGTTGGATAATTGCTTAATTGAGAAGTAAAGAAGAAGCTGAAAGAATTGTCATCGAGATCAAGGCGTGGTGCCCATGTCATCTCTCAGACGCCGATTGATGCCAAGCTTCATGCAGACTTTGAAGAGTCTAAACAACAGTTTGATTACTCAATTTCTGTTAATGCATCAACTTCCACTAGCATTCTTCCTTCCTCGACTGTGTCAGCTTATCTGCAGAAGATGCAAAGAGGGAGCCTTATCCAGCCATTTGGTTGCTTGATTGCTGTTGATAAACAAAACTTGAGTGTTCTAGCATACAGCGAGAATGCACCTGAAATATTAGACTTAGCCCTGCATGCAGTTCCAAGCATGGAACAACAAGAAGCTTTTAGTTTTGGCATCGACACTCGAACGCTCTTCCAACCTTCAAGTGCTGCTGCACTGCAAAAAGCAACCAATTATGAGGAAGTTAACTTGCTTAATCCGATTTTGGTCCATTGTAGAAACTCTGGTAAGCCCTTCTATGCTATTTTACACCGTATTGATGTTGGGTTAGTTATAGATATGGAACCGGTGGATCCGGCTGACGTGCCAGTTACAGCTGCTGGAGCAATAAAATCATATAAGCTTGCAGCCAAAGCTATTTCAAGAATACAATCTCTACCAAGTGGAAATCTATCACTTTTGTGTGACGTGTTGGTTAGAGAAGTGAAGGATTTAACGGGATATGACAGGGTGATGATTTATAAATTTCACGAGGATGAGCATGGGGAAGTTGTTGCTGAGTGCCACAGGCCTGGCTTGGAACCTTATCTTGGATTGCATTACCCTGCAACTGATATACCACAAGCATCGAGATTTCTTTTCATGAAAAATAAGGTCAGGATGATACGCGATTGCCTGGCCAAGCCTGTTAAAGTAATTCAGGACAAGGGCTTGGCTCAACCGCTGAGTCTTTCTGGATCCACTTTAAGATCTCCTCATGGGTGTCACGCACAATATATGGCAAATATGGGTTCGATTGCATCTCTTGTGATGTCCGTGATGATCAATGAGGAGGATGATGAGATGGATGGCAATCAGCAAAAGGGAAGACAGCTGTGGGGCTTGGTAGTCTGCCACCACACTAGCCCCAGGTTTGTTCCTTTTCCTTTGAGGTATGCATGTGAATTCTTGGTTCAAGTTTTCGGGGTTCAAATCAATAAGGAAGTGGAGTTGGAAGCTCAATGGAAGGAGAAGCATATTTTGCAAGTTCAAACTGTGCTTTGTGATATGCTGCTAAGAGATGCCCCAGTGGGCATTGTTACTCAGTCACCTAACATTATGGACCTTGTGAGGTGTGATGGAGCTGTACTTCTTTACCATAAAAAATGCTGGTTGCTTGGGGTCACTCCTTCAGAGGAACAAATCAGAGGTATTGTTGCCTGGCTTCTAGAGTACCATTGCAGTAGTACTGGATTAAGTACTGACAGCCTCATGGATGCTGGCTATCCCGGTGCTTCCGTTCTTGGAGATGCAGTGTGTGGAATGGCTGCTGTTAGAACTAGTTCTAGAAATTTCCTCTTTTGGTTCCGTTCACATACTGCTAAGGAAATAAAATGGGGAGGTGCAAAACATGATCCGGATGATAAAGATGATGGAAGAAAAGTGCACCCTAGATCATCATTCAAGGCTTTCCTAGAGGTGGTTAAGAGAAGAAGCCTACCATGGGAAGATGTGGAAATGGATGCAATTCATTCTTTGCAGCTTATATTGAGAGGATTATTGCAAGATGAGATTGTGAATGATGACAAAATGATTGTAAGTTTTCCAACAGTTGATACCAGCATACAAATGGTGGATGAATTGCGTATAGTGACTAATGAAATGGTTCGCTTAATTGAAACGGCGCCAATACCAATTTTGGCTGTTGATACCTCTGGTGATATCAATGGATGGAATGCCAAAGTGGCCGAACTTACAGGGTTGAGTTTACAAAAAGCTCTTGGTAGGCCCTTTGCTGATCTGGTTGTTGACGATGCAGTTGATGTAGTGAAGAATACACTCTCCCTGGCTTTGCAAGGTGACACTATCTCTGGTCTCCTTGCTCAGTAACTATTTTTCTGAAACTTATTTTCCTACTAGAAATTATAAAACCACAATTTTATTTAGGTTGTTTAAATACATTTACATGTTCTCTCAGTGTGAAGATACATGTTTTTAGAACCTCAATCATTGAGTGAACCAAGAGAGACTGGCTGAGACAGATAGAGAAGTGGGTACTCTTGGTTTTTTTTTTTTTTTTTAATGTGTGTGTGTGGGGGATGGGTGGGGGGAGAATATGAAACTGCAGATGGATAAATGGATTGTCAGGGCAGCCAAAATTGGTGGATATATACCAGGAAGGGAAGGTGGTCACTAACTTCATGACTGATGCATTATATTGCGTCTCCTTTAAACATGAAGGTCTAAAACCATTAGCATTTTTTTCCAGCCACATGACTCTGTTAATTGGTTAAACTAATTTCCTATAACAAGAGAATTTCCTGCTTATGAGCACGTGGAAATCATATTTTTTGTTTTGGAAAAGGAAGATCTTGCACATTGCCTGTCCAATCTCATAGAACTGAGCTTCCAAATCTGCTTTTTGACATGCCGGACTTTTTGGAGAACTCCTTGTTCGCGAAATATTTCTTTCGATTTAAATTACCGCAAGTGTACGGGTCGTGACAAGTAATAAAGTGGACTTTAGAAGTCCGAGTATCGTCCCACAGAGAAATAGTAGTTCAATTTTATTTATTTTAGCCTTAACCGAAACTAATTGAATTAAGATGAATTTTAGAATCAAAAGCCCTAATTTTGAGAAAAATCCCTAAATTGAAAAACCCTAATTTCAAATCAAACCCTAATTTGGGGGAAATCCCCAAATTGAAAAACTCTAATTTCAAATCAAACCCTAATTACTTAAATTCACTTAACGAATGATTCAATTACGAAATGTTATGAAAAATAAATGAAATGTATTGTCAATTTACGAAAATCTATGTAAAAAGAATGCACTAGGATCACGGATCCCCAAATAATTACTAATTAAACCCTAATTTCACAATTTTGATAATTCAATAAGAATTTGACAAATCAATGCTCCTAAATCTATTCAATATTCTCTCTCGAAATGTATTGAACCTATTCTCATAAATCATCAGCCTATATCTCTATGACGGATGCAATTATACAAGAACGCATATAATCTTTTTGTTAGCAATTAAAGATTTACATAGGGCATAGGGGTATATTTCTATCCCCTATCGGACCCTATGATGAATTATATATGTCGAGTTTAATCTAATTTTCTCAAATTCAGAATTAAACCACCAAGTTCACACAAATTAAGTGCACATTAATCGTGGAAATAAATAAACCAATATAATCCATTCAAATATCCCATCGAACTAATAATTCAAAATCATGAAATAGCAAGTTTAATAATAATTACATGGTTCATCGATCACCTAGTTGCAGAAATCTAGCCTATCATGATAAAAATAACGAAATCTAACAAAGTATGAATAAAATACATCACCGGGTTATCAAAACTTGAAGAAATCTTGTAAATCTCGCATCAATTCTTGTTCTTACCTTCAAATCCACTCCAAGATGGATGTTTTTGCCTCCCAATTCGTTCGTGCGGCTTCTGGATGTTTTGTTGCTATTTAAACCCGTCCAAATTAGGTTACCAAAGGAGTTGCAATCATATAAGGAAACTGCAAAAATCGGGGAAAAGTTATACCTATGCGACCGCACAGGTATATGAAAATTGGCATTTTTAATCCCTGGAGGGTCACTCGCGACCGCATAGGTTTTATACTATGCGACCGCATAGTAGAGCTAACTTCTAGTTTGAGTCATTTTGGTCCTCAAGTTTCATTCCTTCACTCCTTGACCTCCTCTCTTGTTCCTAATTGCTCCAATGTTCCCTTATAACTTCCAATTGGTGCTTGGCTTGATCAATTGCTTGATGTGTTCATCGGGTCAACTTTCAGATAATTGCAATTTGGTCCCTGAATTTTCATTTTGCTCCAATTTGGTCCTTTTTCGGCTCTTTTCTCCTGAATTCCACTATTTCCATAGAATTTCCTACATTGCATGAATTTGACAAAGTTAAGTAACAATTCAATCATTTTACTTGTATTTAAGTCATGTTTGTGATGTAAATAAGTGTGCAAAAACACACTTATCACTCGTCAACCTAAGCTCTTTTACTTTTATCTTAATGTTTTAGTAACGGATAGTGCATTTTCACTCCCCTGTGGTTTCTCTCAATGGGTAATGTTAATTACCTCCCACACTAGGGAGCAGGGAGTATGTTAATTAGCAACGATATTTATGTGTGGAGAAATCAGCAACGATTGAAGTAGATTGCGTTGTTCCTTATTTAGTAGGCTTCCATTCCATACTATTTTCTGATTGAACAAAATTGATGTGCTGGAGTTCTACTTTTTTTTTTTTAAAAAAGCTTTTTGATTTTAACCAGATTAGACAATTTAGTAAGGAAAATCCTGGTTTGAATTGCTTTTGCAGGTCAGATGATGCGTCGCAATGGAACACTAAATGACACACCAAGGGTTGAATATTATCATGCTTACATTGGGAGCTTGCTTGATGCTCTGAGGTGAGCCTTTTCGATTCCATGTTAGATTCGTGAAATACAGGACAAGAAGAATTTCACGAGATCTTTTATTCTTCTAGTTTTTTTCCATTTAAGGTTGAATTTGAAAACTTTGAATGAATAAATGTGTTTTCTTTCAACGGTTTAAGCTTTTAAATAAGGTGATTAATACAAGGGGCGCCAACTGTCTAAGCAAAACTAATTGTTCCCTGACCTTTACAAACTTCCATCTTTATAATCTCTGTATCCGTGTTTGTAAACTTCAATATCTTCCCCCCACTGCCGGTATCTTTACCGAGTGCCGGCACTTTGTTCTTGTAACTTGCTAAGTGCTGCTCTGCTTCAAGTTTTTTGAACTCTCATGTACAACTATCCGGATATTTTTTTATAATTGATTTAAAAGAGTAAATATCAAGTTGATTCTGGTAAGATTTTTGTGCCTCTGATTGTGGTTTCTCTTATTCTCAATTTTCATTCTGGAATACTTGAAGGAATGGATCAAACGTAAAAGGGTACTTTGCATGGACCTTCTTAGACTGTCTCGAGTTAACGGTTGGCTATACGCTTTCCTTCGGCTTTTACTACGTAGATTTGGATGACAAAGACCTGAAAAGATATCAAAAGCTTTCAGCGCGCTGGTATGCCAGTTTTTTGAAGGGGAAAACCATGTCAAATTCAATTATTGATGTTGGAAAAGGCACATCTGTTCCTATGAGATACCAATACTCTCAGTAAATTTTAGTTCATATTCCCCTTTGAAGCAGAAGTTGAGCATTGTTATGTTTTAATTCATCTTATGTACTACTTAACACTTATCTGAAAGGTGAACGTATTATCAAACTTCATATTCTGGTCTCTGCTACAC